GGAGAGGGAACAGACTAAGCAATATACAAGTGGCCTGACATCCCCTTCCTTAGCCCCTCCACGCTACCACGATTGTGCCTGCCTGGGAGACCTTATTTTCATGCTGTTTCCAGGAAGTGATGTCAAAGGTGGACCAATCTAAATTCTTACAGGCTTTGTTGTGATTGGCTACTGGACTGCCATGGCCCTGGGGACTCAAGGGTCCTCGATGTCGAGAAACTCTTGCTTAGGTGGGGCCACTCCACGGTACCACGCGCATGAACCATCACTCCGCTTGATGCAGGCATAGTGCTTTGCCTGCCGGCCATTGATGTTCTTCTCTGTCACCCAGTCAGTCCACAGACATTCATCCTGAGCAGACACGTAGCAAGGGATGGAGGGGCAGCGGGAAATCTGCAGCGAAAAGAGACAGCACAGGCATGTGTGGTTCGCCTTCACCATAAGCAGCAAGTGAATCATTCACAAAACCATCAGGAGAGCTCTGCTGGGATCAGACCGAAAGCCTAGCATCCTGCACCCTCCTGAAGTCATACATTACCCTTTGGGAAGCCAGTTTCTCTGGGAAATGTTTCATCCGAAGAATATAAACCCTTCCATAGAATTCCAGAGCTAAAACATCCTGTAATCCTGCTAGAGGCACCAAAGCAGGATTCAATGTGGATGCTATCATCTAAAATATACTTAAATGAAATGCATGCGAATGGAACTTCATAGCCTTATCTGGGAAAGCTGTCTGTAAATTAACATAAGAAGAGTCTTCCTGACATTACTGTGTTGTCATATATCACACCGGAGCCACCCTGAATGAGCCACATTGGACTAATTGCCATGGGCTGGATTGATTAGTGGCTTTTCTTTTACCATTCATAGCAGGTGAGTGAGGGGTAATTGAGCCCTGAACACCCCTTTAAATCTACAAGTTCAGTTGCTGCCTCTGCTGTGTTGTTTACTCTGAAGTTCTACCAAAAACATAAGGCTAGATGGTACAGCAGCGTGCATAGGATAACACTTACAGAATAATCTTCAGCATCACAATATGCCTTCTTGACATGTTGAAGAAGCAGACCAAGACACTACTTAAGCAGAAAATGAGTTTTTTAAAAATCTCCTATTTCTAGTTGCCCCGCTTTGCCACTTGCCCATTGGTCTGCCCCCCTCCTCCACAGGGCCATCTGGCCTGTGGAAGAGTTCCTGATTGCCTGCTGTGTTTCTTCTAGTAGTGTTTCTGCTAGAATGATTTTATTTCTTTCTTGCGATTCCATTGTGTCTAGGAGATGGGTCAGTTGCCTGCTCTGGATGGGGTGGAATTCCCTTTCAGAAGCAGGTGCATGATTTCAGAGAGCTCCTTGATCTAACACTTTTATTGGAGGTACAGGTTTCTTTGATAACCAGAAGGGCTTGCTACCAGCTTTTACTTGTAAGACAACTATTGTCATTCTTGGACAGGGATAGCCTGACCACTGTGATCCACGCAACTGTAATGTCAAGACTGGGATCCTGCAGTGTGCTTTATGTGGGGCTGCCCCTAAGGCTGGTGTAGAAACTTCAGGTGGTGCCAAATGCTTACCACCAGTTTACCAACTCATGCTGAAGGAATTGCACTGGCCGCCTCTACACTAACAGGCCAGGAGTAAGGTTTGATACTTGCCTATAAAGCCTTAAGCAACTCAGGACTGGGATAGCTAAGTGGAAAATCAACACTAGAGCTCTTCCTGTTTATCAGGGAATGCTGTTTTGCGATTTAAGCAAAACACATTTACCATGGTTGGGGGATATGCTAATAAATACAGTGCAGTGTCCCCTGCCTTTAAAACCTGATCTTGTGTCATGCACTAATGCAAATGTGGGAATAGCAAGGAGTTGGAAAGGGGGTATGGGCAGACAAAATCCATTAAGCTATTTGCAGATTTGAAGGAGTGAAATAATGGAGATTTTCAAATAAGGGGAAGAACTCACAGCTCCTGCTGCCCCCCCCCCCCCCAAATCATGGAAAAGAGGAGGAAAAGAGAAGAGGCTAAAAGTGCTGATTTTTGCTGTTCTCCCATTTCCCATGGGATGAAGCCAGCAGGATCAGCACCCCCATTCCCCTCTTCCTAAAATTAATTCCCAAAAGGAAGTGCAGCCCCCATGTTGATTTTCGGAAGAGTAAACATCACTGAAATTAATGTGATTTACTTCTGACTTGACATGTATCTAAGCATCTCTGAAGACAATGAGATTTGTTTATGAGTAAGTACCACTGCAGTGGAGACCTTGGGCTCAATCAGACCCGTGGGAATTGCCTGGGAGACAAACAGATCGACGACTGATGTCCGGGGCTCTCTCTCAGTATGGATGAAGCTCTTGGTACCGATACCTCTGGAAGCGCTGGCAAGTCTGAAGAGTGGTGTTCCGAGTGGGATCATCACTTTTTCTTCTCTGGTTTATCCCTGTTGGAGCGCTTTTCCTTACAAGTCTCTTTGGACTCGGTATGCTTCCTTTTTTCCTTACGTTTTTTAGAGCCTCTGAGGTAGTGGAAGGGATTATTGAACCCAAGGTTTTTGGAGCTTCCTTGTTCAATTTGGAAGCCCAGGTTGAGGTGTCTCCTTGGGCAGTGGAGGGACTGGCTGATTTTGCTGCTGCAACCTCTCTCACCATTACCGGCGCTCTGTCCTGCAACTCTTTTTTCAGTCAGCTCTCCCAGTTTTTTTGTGCCTGCTTGGAAAAAGCCTGGCAATGGGAGCACTTGTCCACCCAGTGGCCTTTTCCCAGGCAGAACAAACACAAGCACTGGGATCCTGCGGGAGGCATTTCTGCCCCACATTGAGTGCACTTTCGAAAACTGGCCTGCTGTGCCATTGAGGAGAAAGAGAAGGATAGAGGATAGGTGATACGAGGGGTTTTTAAAAAATATTTTTTGTAGTGGGGAGGTTAAGGCAAGAAAGGGATGAAAGGCTTTGGAAAGGGAAAAATGGAAAGGTACTAAACTTTTAAAGCTAAAAGCTACAGCTAGAAGGGTGATAGAAAGTGAAAGGCAACAAGAGAAACCCAAGGCACAGCGAATGGCAGTCGAAAGCAGACTGACGAAAGCAGACTGATGGGAACTCCACCCATTTATACTGGGGGGGAAGCGTGGGCTTCCCTCCAAAACTACTAATGCTGAGAGAATCTCCCCGAACACAAGCACAGCACCCATGTGTGTGATGCACAGAGACCACAACAAAGAATTAGATTTACTACTGAATAGACATGTATATGGTGTGTTTTTGGTTAGCTGTTCCTTTCAGGGGAGGGTTGAGGGAAGCAACATTGCATTTACTCTCCAGTTCACTGCACAAGAAAAGTAAGAGAAAGAGAGGAAAGCAACTAATGGCTTACTGGACTTGCCACTGTTTTGTCAAAGCTTGATAAGACATTTCCTCTTACAGCACTGCCCCTCCAGCACCCCAAAGCCACTCTTTTTCCCCCAGAACAGTGCCATGAGTTTAGCGCACACACTGGAATATGTGCCTCAGAAAAACAAGGGGGAGAGACAAGGTTTGGTCAATGGGAATAATGCAAGCAATGATGCATCTGTTGCTAGGGTGCTGAGGGAAGTAGCGCTCAAGGGATGCTCTTGCCAGAAGACTCTATGGTGTTTCCATACTAACCGTGGTAAAACAGTGATTCCATGTCCAGACAACTGGAGAAGCCACAATGAAATGTGGAAACCTTAGTGTTGATTTTCTGTGGTTTCAGAAAGCTAATCCTACCACACAGGAATTCTGAAACTGGGTCCAGACAACCCAACAGACCAAACAATTGTAAGATTTTACCATGACTTCTTGTGTTGCATGAACCTGTCCATTCCCCTGGTGGGTTCAGAAAAGGGCCTTTAGTGTTACTGTACCCCTACAGAGTAAAAATTAGACAGGCACAAATCCTCTGTGTTTCTGGTGTATTTTTGAAATATGAATTGCCGCAACAAGCTTTCCAGAAAAGTAGAGGGGTAGTTGCCCTGTTATGATATTTGTTTATTTAAGAGAGAAATACTATGGGTTGCACCTTCAGTGCTTGTAAGTCTCCTAACTCAGAGGTACAGTGAAGGTATCTTGGTCTCCCTGCCTTCTTCCCCTGAATTTTTGCTAGACAGGCCTTTTTGCCTGTAATGGTATCATTTGGGCTTACCTTGCACTCACAGCCCATCTGGTATCGCTGGTTTAGACTCTTCTTCTGGGTAGCACTGAGGGAATCCCATGGAACAATAAAGTCACACAGTGTGATGTGCATCTTGCCATTGCCCTCGGATTTCCCTGCAGAACAAATGAGTTGTTAGTTGGGACATGCCTGCCATATAAACACACACATGTCCCACACCAGAGTCAGCTTATCCACTGACAAGTGTCTCACCTTGGCCAAAAAGTGCTAATTGCATATATGTGCATGGCTCAAAAAGGTTCAATTATATAAAGCGCTTTTGCTAACATGGGATCACTCCTAATGAAATCAACTCAAGAGTGCTGATTTACTGAGTAAGATCGATGGTCCCCTTTGCGTCATCACTTACTGTTTTGATAAGCAGTCGGCCAGATGCCACAGGGAAGTTCCAGAATCCATCTCCAGCAGGCAACAACCAACGCTACACTGTGAACGAGCACTGGAGTTTGCACTTTTGTCTAGATAGTTTATAGCCTCTGACGGAACTATCCGCTGTCTATTTATCAAATCCAATTTAAAAGCTGTTTATGCCAGAAGCCAACACAATGTCCTATTGCAATAAATTTCATGGGTGAATGTGAATTTGTTCACATCTACATTGCCCCACCATTTTTCATTTTGAAAAAGGAAATCTTTCCCTATTTTTTTCTATCCAGTTTTTCCATAATATTCATGTTCTCCAAAGCCTCTTCTCTGTCTTTGCTCAATCAACTTTTTTTCCAAGCTGAAAAGCTCCAGTAATTAAAATCTTATCCAGGCATGCATTCTGAACCTGAACATGCATTTCATTAAAGCAGCATACCACAGCTTACAAACAGCAGTGCTACACAGCATTTTTAAAATGTAGGTTTAGCATTCTCATCTGGAATGTTGTGACAAGATCAGGGGAGAAGACAGAAAAGAATGCAGTAAGCCAGAAGAGTAACAGAGGATCGCAGTTCACAACATTCTCTACAGTGCACACAGGATGTGGGGAGTGAAGGGAAAGAAAGGTTCCAATTTTTCCTGTTTCCCGCTTCCAAACAAACCTAATCCTCAAGAACTTGCGGGTAGGTCCCAATTGCCGAACCACACCAATACTATCATCTCCAAGGACAAAAAATACAATACCACCTGCCTTCCCTTTCACATGGTGGCAGCTCATTTCTCCACCCAGAATGGAGAATTCTTCATTATACTAACTGCCTTCATTGGCATTTATTTTTTCTAGCTATGGTATTTCGTTACCAGTTTTCCTAGTAATAATCATAAAAGTATGAAGGGGTAAAACTATGTCTGGACTTTTGATTATGAAACCATTACTATGCAACATTTCTCTGAACTGTCTGTTCCGTGAGGAATTACGATGCTTCAGGACTTGAGTGAAAAAAGTGTTGTCTGGACAAGCCTTAGCTAATAAGGAGTTTCAAAATGCCAAGGTCTAGCAGACTACCCTGTAGATTTCTGCATAGCTTGCTTCATTACAGCCTCAAAAGCCCTTGTGAGCCTGAGCTGACTGTAAAAACATTATCAGACATCCTTTCATGGGAGCACCAGAAGGTGGCGTTTGGCAGAGCTCCACAAAGAAAATTTCAAAGCGAAGCAGCCCCTGGATTCTACTTCCAGTTGCAGACTATGACAGGCACCAAGGCAGCTGGCAATGCATCAGGGACTCTCCTTCCAGCAAGGAGGGCAGACTGCATTTTTCTCAGCTGGGAGTGCATTTAGCTCTAGCCATACTAGCCGGCATAGCTTGGGGATAGTCTGATTTCACGTTTGTATGTGAAAGATTTCTAGATCTCCTTTCATCCTAACAAATTCCAGGCTGGTGCACAATCATAAAAGTACAAAATAATAAAAAGCCTTGTCATCATCTTTCATAGTATATAAAACTGAGAGGAAACAGAACCAGAAAGCTGTAGGCAGAAGCAATAAATCAATCCAAACTACCTGGAGAAAGCATGTCTTGAATGCCATGGCACAGAAAAGAATGTAATTTCAGACAAAATTCCTTCATGAGGGTATTCCAAAGTTAGAGGACCACCACAAAGAAGGCACTTTCCTTTCCCCATAATTACATACCCCGTCTGGTGGTAATAGATATAGGAAGAGGTACAGAACTGCTTTCAGCTCCGTTTTGGAGAGATGTTCTGGGAGGTTGCATTCAGTGATGCTTGGGGTATGAAGGACAGTGTCAAAAATACCAGCACACTTGTCACAGGCTATCCTGCCTCCTGATGTTTGGTCATTTGTTTGTAGTCCTAATCAATTATTTTTATTAGGTAAAAAATATATAAGTCTTGTTTCAGGCTGCACCACAAGTTGTGTTCTGAACAATTGCTACAAAAGAGTCGAACTGATTTAGCATTGTATAAGGTTACTGCTGCAGGTTAAAGAGCAGAAACCAAATTACTGAGGAATTGTTGGAACGCTCTGTTCAGGCCAGGCATGCTAACAAAGCCACTTCCAAAGCAGATGCTTTCCTTGAGGAGTGTCTCTTGCAGCTGGAACATCATTTTACCCTAGACTGCTCCTCCCATCATACACACCATTTAACTGTTGGATCTCTACTGCCCACTCCCTTCTCCACCTCCCCACTCTGGCTCAGCAATCCCAGAGTTTCAGAAGAGCTTGCCAGACTAGCTGGGTTATTCCCACCTATCTCTGTGTTGTTGTGGCCTCCAGCTTTACTCTCTCCCTGTCTGAGTCACAACCAAATCCCACATTTTCTTGAAGTACCTTGCAGAGGTACTGAGATTAACCTGTACTGCATTTTAGTTCTATTACATTACAGTTTAAAGCTCTTACCTCCAGTAACTAACAGAAGAATCTCAAACTTTTAGAATAGGTAAAAAACTACACCAAAGCCTGAAAAACCATCAGACTGTCAGAGTTTGAAGGAAAGGGGGCACAGCATCCTGGGAAATCCCAGAGGGCTAGATTTGACCCCCACCCCTAGTCCTGAGGTTCTGCACCCATGATACAGGAAGAGGCACTCCATCAAGTATTCGCGTCTCAAACTATTATGCCTCAGTACTTTGAACCGGGCTCAGAAACAAACAGGCAACCAAGGTACTTTGTCAAAAAATAATGTAATATGGATCCAACTAACCAACCAATCACAATTCTCACAGCTAAATTCTGAATGAACTGAAGCTTCCAAATCATCTTCAAGGGCAACCCCACATATAATTCATTAAAGTAATCCAATCCTGATGGACCTCTTGGACTTGTTGCATGCAAACTTCCTCTGAAGAGCTGAGAGCTGTATTTTACCTTCACAATACGCCTGTAAGATAGTTTAGGCAGAAAGAGTGATCCATTCAAGGTCTAATTCAGTGAGTTTCCTAATCAGAGAGATAATTTGAACCTAACACCATACTGACCTATTTGCTCAGTATTCCATATTCATCCAGCCCCAAATGGCATTGATGCAGGAAGGTGGGGAAAAAAATCTTCTCCCTGGCCTGTCAGAGCAGTAAGTCTCTGCAAGAGTTATTCCTTACCTGCAATGAGATACTCCTTCTTGCCACCAACATCCAGCGTCACCCCACACACTGCTGAGGAAGGAGCCGTGTAGATGAATTCAACGTCCTGGTCAGGCCCTTTAAACATCTGGGAAGGAAACAAATGGGTGAGGCCAAGAGCAGAGGACAGCAATTCGCATCAGTCATTAAGATGTAAGCAAACTAACCAGTAGCAAGTAGAAGACATTCCTGAGCAGGAGATGCCACAGGGCAAACAGAGTTACCTCTCTTCATGGTGCTACCATGGGCACTGCCAGGGTGTCCTCTTCAACCACAGCCAGTGTTGCTAGTTTGGGGATGAAGGGAAGATGGGTGCAGAGGATTTTACAGGCTCTGTAAAAACCTTAGGTACTTTTTTTCTTTATTTGTCAATGTGCGAAGAAGAGAATGAGAGAGGCAGGTAGGTGCAAGTAAAGGGCTTGGTCCCATTGGGCTGGTCCCTCTCCCCCTAAGGCTCATTGATGCCAACTGCCCTGTGGGAAGAACACTGGAGGGCAAGTCTTCCTCCAGTGTGGCTGCTTGTTTTGGGTTTTGATTATGTGATGTATCTGTTGTAATTTATAAAGTGTAGTATAGGACACTTTGGGGGAACTAGTGGGAAAGTAAGATATAACCCTTCTAATAGTTACAACAAGAACACTTTTAAAAGCCACCCTTCAGAAATAGGACTCCCAAGACAGAGTATAATTTAATAACAAATACATTAAATTCATTTTTCAACTTTTCCCCACTCCCCTCTCCTGCCCCAACAAACATTTTGCCCCAAGATAACTTAAAATATGTATGATAACAACAGAAGGACTCTATTTGACAAAAGGTAAGTATGAGGCACTGACCCAGTTCATGAGAGGGAGAGAAATGAATGGCCCATGGGCTTTCATATAGAAGTTCTGTCCTAATACCCAGCATCCCATGAGGAATAAGGAGCCAATGAGTTAGTTTGCATTGTGAGTTATGTGCAAACCCCAAACTGTGGATTGTTCATGGGTTGTTTTAACAAGCTATATAAGTGACTGGAAGAAGCAGTTGAAAAAAAAATCAGTCATTCTCCTTGCCAGTACTACAGTGCTACAAAGGAAGAAAGGGGGGGTGCAAGCACCAAACAATCCAGGAATTGACCAAATAACAGCACTCGGTTCTATTGTTTGGTAGCTAAATCACAGGTTAACTCTGGGTAAAGCAATTACCTGTGAATTAAGCCTGGGTTGTCATTACGTGCAAACTAGATCAATGTCTATTTTATTTTAGGGTTCTTCAAGCCATTTCCTTTTCTCCTATTCATCGCCAGACTGATCAGTCTCCTCTGAAATCTCTGCTTTTTCCGAAGAGGTGTGTGCAAGACACACAAGGGAAAAATAATTATCAAGCTTAGGTGGCCAGCTGTCCTACTTTACAGAGGCCAGTTCTCTACCTGAAGGGCTATCTAGTTTAAAGATAAAGAACTATCAGAAGGGAGGGAGAAAGCTATAAGCCTTTTTCAATCCAAGGCTCTCTCAGGGGAATGGTGTGGGTTTGGAACCACCGGTTCTTAAGCTGCCTCGGCTCTGCCAGCAGGTTGCCTTGTTTCAGGGTCTCCTACTTATGGCAACAATGCACCTCCGCTGCCCTCCAAGCTCCCCTCTGCCAGGGAAGGGGCATCTCTACCACATCCTGATCATCTTCCAGATGGCTACCTAAGGGGGTTATGATTGCTTTGCTGTTTTCCTGCAAAGGTTATTTTTCAAATTCTGGAGAACAATCCTAGAATTATATATCCCATATGTAAAGCCTGAGTCTTGGTGGTGGGGGCTTGTACACTAGGGCAAACCCACCCCTCTGGCCAAATGGAGAATCATCTGAAACCACTGATAATCCCTCCTTTCAGTTCCATGACTATCATTAAACTGGGTATCTTAGACGTTTTATACCTCAAAATAAAATAAAATAAAATAAAATAAAATCTCTTTTTATTTCACATATGCCTTTTCCCTTATAGGAGATGGTCATATGTGATCAGGGGTGCCACAAACATAATCAAAAACATATGGTATTTTATTAAAAAGAAAACAAGAAACTTAGTATTTTAAGAATGTTGTCATTACTTTTAAACAGGGTTTTTATGTGGTGCTAGAATCAGGTGCTAGAAGCCACAGTTCCTATCCCTAGCCAACATTCCCCTATCAAAATCCACCCCAGTTAACTCACAGACTGAATGCTAGGGCCACAATGGAATACTTATTTCTGGTCTGGCTTCCAGCTGGTACCTTCTCTGCTGTTATCCTGGCTTCTCATGAAGTCTTCACTCTGGTCCAGCATCTGCTCAGGCTCCAGACCCCTCCCCTCTCCAGCTGTCCATTAAGTTTCAGTAATTTCCTCCAAAGTCTTCCTTTCCCCTTCTGCAGACCTTCTTCACCTTTTGCCTCATGGGCTCTTATCTTGGTCTTCTAGCTGCTTTTCCTCCTGGTCAATGTCTTCTTCAATATCCTCAGTTTCTCCTGAAGACACTTCTTCAGAAAATCCTTCTGTCAGACATCTCCTAACAGACTCAGACTTTGCACTGTCAAGACTATCCACTATTCTTTCTGATCAGGATGCTCCAGTGGATCAGATCAGGGATCCAACATTCTGTCACCCCCATCTCTGTGTACACACCTGACCAATGAGCATCTTTAGAATGTTGTTCCCCAATCAGATGGTTCCAATTTCAATTCCTCCATCCCACTGTCAGGACAAAACGAGCAAATATTTTGGCATAATATGGCTGCTAAAAGCCTGACATTGTAAGAAGAGTTTGAGACTTAAGATGGGATTCCGGATCTGGTAAGAATCCATGTTAGAAGTCTTTCTTTCCATGTACACTTTAGAGATGCAAATGTTTGCCTGCTCTTCCAGGTACCTGCCTGGATATGATAATATATTACCATCCCTCTTATTTTATTCTAATGTTCCTCTAGCATGCTGTGTGCCTGATCCCCCATCCTTTCCCCAAACTGTGTGTATAACCGATCGGTTATAAAGGCATCTTGTACAGACTCCATCCTGGTAGTCTCTACGGGGGCTGCCCACATGCTGCATGTATTTCCTGTGTGTCTGAATAAACTGTAAATGTTCTTTTGATTGTACCTGCCACCCACCCCCTCAGCGGACTCTCTGAGGGTTTTTTTTTTTTTCACTCTTGTCACCACATAGAAATAATTTGCTTTGAACAGTATCTACAATGTAATTTCCCATCTTTACAATGTAATTTCCATCAGGTACAAGCCCCTAGTAAAAATGTATACAGTTTTCATTTACTGTTAAGTCATTCACACCCTAAGTGGTTGAAACAAAACACAGCACTTAAACTTTTACCTCAGTTTTATCTCAGTGTCTTCATAATCCATTTAGAGCTTTCCAAGTCTGGAGATGCCTAGCTATCTCCATTCGGGACACTGTCGATAAGAATTGTACTAAATCTTTGTGTGGGAACTGGTTTTGAGAATTTTTATCAATCCATACTAGAGATAGAATGTAGCACTATACCCAAAATTTCATGAAATATCAATGCTGCCAATACAATTCTGGGACAGGAATGCTGTATATATAAAAAGGCTCCTAGTTTCCAAAAATATCTCCAGAAAGGGATGACAAGCTTTTACTGATGTAATATGGACCTCAGGCCTACTGGCCAAATGAAGCCCCAAATCTGGCCTGCTGCAGTGTGCGAGATGGCCACCTCCTTTTCCTCAGTTTCACCTCTGCCCTCCAATTGTTCCCTGGCTTTCACCCTGCCCTGGTTTGCCTTCTTCCCCAGAGCCCACTGGAATGTGCCCTCAAAAGCTTCTCCAAAGTTGGACTTGTCCTTCAGGCCAAGAGGTCTAAAACCCCTGATGTAGGCAAATCAGAGTGAAGTGCCATCAACAGGCCAATTTTGGAGAGGACTCGGGTAGCAAAGGTGTTCCTTCTTACTGGCTGCTTTTACTACATGGTTCTGGGACAGAATTCCCTAAATCTTCTGCACTCCCTTTTGTTAAGTCATTATGACACATGAAACACCTACAGTGATGGACTCCAGGCCCCAAGACCCTTGATTCACTCACTTTTGAAAAATATTTTCAGTGCCTTTACCATAATACAGACTGGACCAAAGCCTTTAATTCCCTCCCCCTAACCCCCTTCTCCTGTCCTGTGGTATTTCTAACTGGGGAATCATTCAGGTTTGGGCAATTGAGGATCTGAAATGGGAAAGACTACATCATAAAACCTCTAAGATACCCAGAATAATTTTGGTTGTGGTAACCATCTAAGCCTTCAAAAGTCTGTTTAGCATCATTTGGCCTTTTATTATAGTATACCAGCTAGAACAGCAGCACTGAAGTAACAGGTTTATAAACTCTCGGCAATCCCATGATTTACTTCTTTTCCTTCATGTGTGTGCATATATTTGACACAGATGTATCTTTTGAGTTAAGTTCTGTGCAAGTAGAACTTCCATGTAGGGCTTGTTACCTTTATCTGCTTGATTTCATACTGGATGCGTTTGATGGGGTTCCCATAGATGTCATTACCAGAGTCCACCTCTCTCTGAGAGACAGCCTTTGCTCTGATCACTGAAACACAAAGGCACCAAGAAAATTAGTAGGCAGGTGCAATACCGGTGCTTGGTCTTCCTAGTCTTACAATAGTCCTAACACCAATGAATTTCATTCTCCACCTTTCACCGCACACACTAGCTGCACCAGTATGCAAGCATGGAGCTATTAATCTTTGGGAACAGGTTGTGTGGCACATTACAACCAATGCAATGTTCTCCACTCCTGCTTACGCTCAATGATTATAGGTCACCGTTAACAACCACAGTTTGCAGCCATGCTGGAAATGCTTTCTTGCTCTTGTGTATTTCAAGGAAAAGTCCAGAGATGTGCACTATCCACAATTAGCCTCCAAGAGAGGGAAGATGATTGCAGACAAAACATGATGCTGCAGGTATATTGGTTATTAAAAGATGTGGAGGTTAACTGCTTTTCTTGTTAAATACATTTTCCATTAAAATTCAGATCAGATTATCATCACTGAAACTGTCCACACTGAAATTTCCTCTCATTAAAAGTGTTTCACATTTGACCTTTAAATTTTCTTCAGTTGTTTAAGAAAAGGACCTCCTGCTGTGCAGGAGAGAACAGCAGATGCAAGCAAAACAAGGAAAGTGTATCTTTCATGAAAGCCTGAATTTAATATGTAGTAAATAAATATTTTTCCTCACTCCATAAAAGATCACTAGATCAACCAATAATACAACAACTTCAGTATTTTATTTTCTACTGTCCAAGCTTCACAGGTAAGTTTAGAAACAGGGCACAACCTTAGCAATTTCTGGCAGAGCCATGGTTCAGATCGTCTCTCACTCATCTTCTGTTCTGTAATCCTTTCTTCTAAAAAACACTGGGTACAGTCACACATCATGCTAACCTACTCTGGCAAGGACCCAGAGAATGTTTGTTGTTACGCAAACCACCCACATGGTACGGACCAGACAGGTGGACTCACCTTGGATTGTTCACTGCCTCCCTCGGCTAGGGCATCCCAGGGGACTTCGCAGGAGGATCGCCTTGCCTGCCTCCTCCTCTGTCACAATCACAAGCCAGTTCTGGCTCACTGCAGCTTTTTTCCTCCTTACCCCCTTTTCCCCCAGAGATCAAAAGTTCAGCTTGACAGCTACCTCCCTTTGGACAGCCACTAACAATCCCTTCAAAATGCCTAGGAGGCACAAGACTGACAAATACTAATTTCTTTTATTTTTGTGTGTGTGCATACAATGGGCACTACTTCTTTGATTTATTTTTTGGACAGGGACACGTGGTTGTATGCATCTCTGTCAAAAACTACTCATTGCCCTGTCAAAATCCCTTTTCAAAGGGGAGCCAGAAAAGGGGGTAGGGTGAACTTTTCCACTTTCTTGAGCAGCTAGAATCTCAGGGAAAATGCAAAATATGCAGGACTATAAGGACCACTAAAGCAAATGAATAATAAAGACAGATCCCACCATGAAGTGGGTATAAATCTCACCACCTTTTCATAAACAAAAATACCTCACACCTTTTCTTTCCCTTGAGAGCTTGCCTTTAGAAAGCTGTCAAGAAAAAGGGAAGTACAGAAGAGCCCTATCTGAAGCCCCCTTAGGTCAATGTTCAGAGCTGGTATCACTATATGCTGACAGCAGGTATCCAGCCCCGTGCCCAGCTAAGCCTCCTGATTTCTGCACTTATAGGACTGCACACCTGCAGTTGCAAAAGTTTATGCACACTGTGTTCTCAATTTTTTAAAAAAGTTTGCAACCTACTTAGGGACCCTCTGTGTGCCTCTTGGATACTTTGACTAGTACTGTCAATGGCTGTCAAATGGAGATAGCAATAGGCAGCTAGTAAACCCAATTTTGCAATTTGTAAAAAGTGGAGGAAGGAAGAAGAGGAAAAAAGCTGTAGCAAGCTGAAAGTGGTTCACAATCACAAGTGACATTCAGCCAATGTCCAACAGACAGCCGTCCTGAGACGCTGTCGTGAAGGATGGGATAGAAATGTTTTAAATAAATTAAAAAAACCAGAAGTGGGTTTGGGGCACTTCTGGGGTGGCTAGCACTGGCAGAAGCCTGGACAACCTTGGCAATGATAACAAAGGGTTTTTGTCACTGTTGCCAAGAAGCCTGCACGCTCCATGTGGGCTAGCTTTCCAGGTTCTGATGAAATGACAACCCATTGTGTGTACAACAGCCTCAACTACTAGTCATGGATTCAAGTGGCTTGTTGCCCATGAGCAAGTCACCCTGAAGAAAACAGTTCAGGTTTGTATAACAATATGACCCAGTACAACTAGCCACCCACGATGAGTTGTCATGTTATGCAAACTCATTCTATGGTACAAAATCCAGTGATAAAACTCACTCCTCGTACAAGCAAACAGTTTGCCGTAGGCATGGGCAGAAGGTAGATTAGGATCTACCAGCAGATCTCTGAGTGTTTGTAACAGTTCAGCAAGGGTTCCCGACTCCCACTTGTTTAACAATAGCAAGAACAAAAAGGGTGGGTGGGATTTCCCCTAAAACCTAGGTTTGGCTGCTGAAATTAGGAATACACAGGACAACTAGAAGTGCACCTTTGTATGGGAAAACTACAAGCTTGGTTAGTAATGAAAACAAATTTCTTTGCTCAGAGCGTGCTCAGAAGCACCCGGTCCTTGAATGAAGTGTCTGGTTTTTGCATCAGGCTCCAGTGGGTGGATCTTGGGCTTCTAGCACAAAACAAAGTAGATCCAAGAAGTCTGATGTCTGCCCAGCCCTGCTTCACAGCATAAACTTGTACTTGCTTTAAGGGAAAGTTCTGATGCTCAGTTTACCCTTCAACCCAGGGAATTCTGAACTATGATCTAACGTTCAAAATGGATCCCTGTCAGCAGGCACGATCGTCTACACACACTAGCCCCCCACAGAACAACCACACACTGACTACCACTGTGCCACAAAGAGAGCGGGAGCTAATCAGGTTTACCACACCTAGGAACTTGATTATGCTCTTCGTATGTATTAAAGTAAACACAAGCAAACCACTGTAACAGGACCTGCCGAAGTACAGTATGCACTCTACTGTTTAGGAATGGACTTTGCCTAGAATTTAAAATGTATTCCCTTATTTCTGTACCACAGTGGAGACTGAAAGCAACAGCCTATAGCTCCTTTAACGTATTGGGTGATCCATTCAATCTTTTTGCATTTTGTGATTTCTACTGCAGGCAAGTTCACACAGCACAGGAAGCCATGGTGAAACCTACTGCTGCAGGTTTGTTGTATTGTCCAGACCTATTTCCAGAGTGCTTATGTGCCAGGATTGGCTTTCTGAAACCACAGAATCAACCCTCTGTTCGAAGGATTTCACACTTCACCACAGCTTCTTCAGTTGTCCAGACATGGGATCACAATTTACCATTATTGGTATGGAAATAGTCTAGAGTCCCCTGGCAAGAGCGCCCTTTGATCCCTACAGCCTTCAGCACCCTAGCAAACCGATGTGTCTTTGCTCACTTTATTCCCTTTGCTTTTGGAAATGGAGGAAGCACAATCCATGGAAGGGGAAGGGGGGACATCACAGTGAAACTGCTAATTTCCATTTAATAATTATCTCTGCATGGCTGGAGGGGCTAGAAAGTGCCGCAGACATGCAGGTACACTGGGGAGCGGGGGGGGGGGGGGGGGGCTCTGCCTCTGGACCACTACAGTCCTGCCAGGAGGGAAGGCCAGGCTCTTCACTCACAGGGTTCAGGGAAGCATGGCAGGGCCAGGAGGACGGAGTGGGGAGCAGAGACGCCATGCTGCCTAGGTTACTATACAACCAGTAAGTTTATACTGAGCAATAATCTGTGCACTGCAGAAAAAGCACAGGGTTGTTTGCTGTGTTGTGTGAACCCAGTCTGAGCAGCCCAGTGCTCCTACTTGCAGCTTTCCTCTGCAATTATGTGGCCTTGAAATTTGTATTTTAAAACAAATGCTTAGAAATCAAGAATTCAAACAACAACCATTGTAACACTTTGGGAAAGGGAAAGCAGTTTTTTAAAGTTCTCAAAAACATCAGCAGGTCCTCACAACATCTTGTAGCAACAAATTCCATTCGTAAACTGTTCAGTCTGTTGCAAAGTACTTCCTTTGGTTTTTTCATACACATGTTGCCAATCAGTTTAATTGGGTATAAATTCCAGAGGAGCAGACATGTTAGTCTGCAGCAGGCTACAAAAACAACTGAGTGTCCTGTGGCACCATAAAGACTAACCCATTTATTGTGGCACAAGGTTCTCCAAACCAGAGCTTACTTTGTCAGATGCCACAATTTATTTGTTAGCTTTCAATGTGGCACAGGACTTTTTGTTATTTTTCAAGGGTATCGAGTTTCTCTGTGTCAAGACTGAATAACTTTTCCTTATGCTGTTACTTGGAGGGCACAAGCCTGACTCAACATCCTGCTCACCAGCAGATGACTCAAATAAATGGCAGCCTTACATAGAATCGCGCCTATGCAAACAGAATGCTGGACTAGCGAGACCTATGGCTTTGCGAAAGCAGCGCTGTTCCTATGTTCATCGGGGCCCAGACTGCTTACTTTCACAGAGAGTGACACTCCAAGGCCTTAGGCAGAAGTCATCTCCAGCTCACGTAGCTGAGATACTCAGAACAGGTATACTAGGGAATGAACCTGGAACTCTCTGCATGCAAAATATATTCTCTACCCTGAAGCAAGGTCTAGCAACATTACTGAAGGTTCTGGTACAATGCCTAATTAGCATCTTTGCAATTCCCTGCATTTTCTCTTGGTGTTTGCCTTCATGCTGAACCAGAACATTTAGTCCATACCTGTTACCAGGAGGAGGAGGTGGGAATGAGTCGGTCTTTCCCTGACCCAACTTGTTCAATGGATGGGTTCTGGCCATCTGTTTGGAGACCTACCAAGTCAAATGTAAGATCTGTCCTTACGTGGGCCACCAAGAGTCCATGTATGTCCCACAGGACCCTCGAGGCACCCTGTCCACTTTCCCCCACCCTCAGCGAGTCACAGCCTTCTCCCTGTTCCCT